CTTATTTGGAAACAGGGTCTTTGCAGAGGTAACAGCTAGTTCAGATGAAGTCACAGTGGAAGTGGGATGGGCCTCTAATCCAACATGACTGTGTCCTTATAAAATAGAGAACTCTGGACACGGGGACTGACATGCACACAGAGGCCATGTGAAGACTGGCCGTGTGGTGCCGTACACCAGGGAACTACCAGAGCCAGGAGAGAAGCCTGCAGCACACGCTTCCCCCTCCCTGCTGGCACCATGATTCCAGACTTCCAGCCTCTGGAACTGCAGGACAATACATTTCTGTTGTCTAAGCTACTCGGTTGGTGGTACTTTCGTTACAACAGCTCTAGGACACTAATACTAGCAGCTGGGATGAAGGGATAGAGAAGAAGAGGAGGGAGTTGCAGGACAATGAGGCAGCAGGGAAAAGCCCCATCCATATCACCTATTAGCGACATCCCTTAGAACTCAGAAACCTCAGCTGAGAAGACACAGGGATTGAGAAATGACAAAGCACTTTGTATGAAAACAGTCACTGCTCTACTAAAATTCGATTGTAAATGTTGAGCTGAGCAAGTCACACATTATTGAAAGGAGAAACCTCAGAAGTCAGAATTTACCCTGGTTACACAAAAAAGGATACATTTCCAAGAGCAGAATATCATCTAAAGAGATTTTTCAAGAGGGTTTTAAAAATCACAACCTTAACAGACCTTGTTATTGTCAAGTGTTTTTTCCCATGAGAAGTCTGCTTTCCTCCAGTCTTTACAAACCAAACATTACCATATTGGGTTAGTGATTAAGGAGCTCGAAACAAAATTAAGCAGGCTATTCTGATTTCGTTGTCTCGGTTTTTTTTGCTTGTCATATTTCGAATAGCCCCAAATGGCAAGATTTAAATAAAAGATAGGCTATTTCATAATACTTTGTCCTCACTTTCTACAGTAACTGAAACCCCCTCAATTTAGCATGGACTTGAATGTACCTTTACCTTTAGCCAGGCCTGTCCTGGGCCTGAAGGAGGAGTCCAGGAGCAGAATTCCACAGTCCTACCCTGGGAAAACGCCAAACCTAGTTGGCTGCAGTCATGCTGGCCCACGTTCAGCTGCCAGAACACACTGAGGTGTCTGTTTCTCACCTGACAGCCTTTGCACATGCTGATCCCCTGTGCCCGGAATGTTCTTCCCTCCACCCTGATCCTCTCCATGCCCACAGCACAACACAACCCTCCACGCACTCAGCTCAAAAGTCACCTCCTCGGAAACCTCTGCTGTCACCGCCCTTTCATTTCTCCTCATCACATAATCTTGTACGGTCCCTCCACCACCCTATCACAGCTGTAATTACTAACTGTTTACTTGTTTACTATCTGCCCCTCCCTAATAACGGTAAGCAAGCTTCCTGAAGTCAGAGATCAGACGAGTTCTGTAAACGACACCCAGGCCCCGGCCCACAACAGGCACACAAATATTTGTCAAGATCGATCAATTAATTAATTAAACAAATGAAGGCTTGATATGATTGACAGGGGCACATGCCAAGACACAGTGGGAGCTCCCAGTGCCCAGAGGCTCTGAGCTCAGTCCGCAAGCGCGCAGTCTACGCTTGGCATCCTGATCGGGAGACAGATGCTGGGGGACATCACTGGTTTGCTCATGTCTCTGGGAAAGTTTCAAACTCAAAAAAAAAAATCAACCCTCTGATCACGATCTGGCTTCACGAACAGGCCCTTCCTGTAATAAAAGGATGTCCAGTCGCGTGCACATCGACTGTTGGGGTCCCCAGGATGACACTTTCTCATGGTAAATTAATAAAGCAGCGTTGTCACGATCTGGTGTCCCGTGTAAGTTGACTTCGGGGAGAAGTGTAATGATAACACCAACACAATGTTTGACGTGATAACTGGCGATTTCTTGTATATATTCATAAACTGGCATTCTGACATTAAAACAAGAGAAAGCCTGTGCATTTTATATTTACAAAAAAAACTAAAAATCTTAGGATTTATGGATCATAAGTATTAGATGACACAGGGTACTTTGGCAGTACGTACATAAAACCTTTAAAATGTATGTACTACTTAATCCAGAAATCCTACTAACAGGAATTTATCCTAAGAAAATAATCAAAAATGAATATAAAAATTTAGCCATAAGAATGTTCACTGGAATACTATTTATAATAAAAACCAGAAACTTAAAAATCCAAATAGGTTAATTAAAAAATGTGTGGTAATCACTATTAGGAAATACTCTGCAGCTTTTCACAATGTCTTGTATAATAATTGATGACATCATGATATTCTAATAGCAAAAAAATGTATATTATGAATCAATACCCCAAAATGTTTTAACTATAGTTTTTGCTGGGTGGTGGAGTCATGTGTGATTATTTTCCCATATTTTTCTGTGTTTTATAATTTTTCTCTAAGAATTATGAATCGCTTATATAAATATATTTTTTAAAAATAAATTTTAACTAGTTACAAAAGGATAAACACTATATAATTTCACTTATATGAGGTACCTAGGGTAGACAAATTCATAGAGACAGAAAACAGACTGGAGGTTGCCAGGGGCTGGGGCTGGGGCAGGGGATGGGGAGTTAGTGCCCAGTGGGTACAGAGTTTCAGTTCTGCAAGATGGAAGAGTTCTGGAGATGGATGGTGGAGATGATAGCACCACAATGCTAATGCATTTAATGCCACCAAACTGTACACTTAAAAATGGCTAAGATGGCCAATTTTATCTTATTGCATATTTTACAATTTTAAAAAACTAAAAAAAAACAAAAAACTTAAACCAGTAAATCATAAATATAGCTGGATCTAGAGATGACTCAGTTATTAGGATTTTCAAGAGACAGAAGTAAATCAGCCTACATTTGACCTTGGACCACAGGGCACTGAGCCACATCATCCGTGGCATCCACCAGTGTGGAGTGTGCCACTAGATAAATAGCCATCTGCCTGTTTTCTGACTACTGGTGCTGACCTCGTGTTTCCTGGGTCACCTCCAGTCTCTTCCTTCATGGCCTAGAGTTTTCTTCCTCTCTTGCCCATGTTTGACTCTCAGATGAAGAAACTGAATTGGCTGCCCCAGAGGCATGGCTTTCCCAAAGCCTGGCCACAGTGACTGCAGGGGACAGGTGGGCCCAGAAGAGATCTGTGGCTATGTCCTCCATGGGCCACAGGTTCAGGGACTTGCTCCCAGAGCCTTTCAGCTAGTAGCTGGTGGAGCCAAAGAGAGGAATTCCACCTTAAACTCAAGACAACTGACCTCTCTAAAAGAAGACCTCCAAAGAATGAAGAGGAAAGAACTAGATCCAGCAAACGAAATCCTTCCTTTGTTCATCAAGAAGGCACCCAGGGCTTTGCCACTGAGAAAGGAGGGATGCCTGGGTCCTGGGGGTGGAGCCTGAGAACCCCATGGCTGCAGACCCACTGTCCAAGGGCTGGACGTGGCCTGCAGGTGTGTTGGTTTGGCCCACACTGTGTTGGTCTGCACAATGTTTGCAAAACTTCTGTTAGTTGCAACACTGAAAAATCAGGGTATTTCTACCTAAAGAGATTTTTTTTTCAATTCTCTTAGGGAAAAAAAAATGAAAGCTCTTAGCCACACTGAGATTACTTATGTGACAACAACAGGCTGGAGGTGAGCAGAGGCTACCCTTTAGATGGGCCCTCTCCCCAGTCCAGTCCCACTATTTACCTGCCTGGCCCTGCTGTTTCCGGAGTCGTAGCCCCTCAACTGGACTGGGAAGTGCTTGGGAGGACCACGTGGTACCTGGCGTGATGCTAGCTGGGGCCCCCTGTGAGGTCTTGGAAATACTCAGTGACTGCAGCCAGCCTACGGCGTCAGAGTGCGGGTCTGGCGTTGAGAGTCAGGAGTAAACACCAGGTACAGACATGAGTCCAGTGTCTGTCCCCCGGCCAGGTTTCCACGCACCATCAAAATGCAACATCTGGGCCGGGCGAGGTGGCTCACGCCTGTAATCCTAGCACTCTGGGAGGCCGAGGCGGACCCATTGCTTGAGGTCAGGAGTTCGAAACCAGCCTGAGCAAGAGCGAGACCCTGTCTCTACTATAAATAGAAAGAAATTAATTGGCCAACTTCTATATATAGAAAAAAATCAGCCAGGCATGGTGGCGCATACCTGTAGTCCCAGCTACTCGGGAGGCTGAGGCAGGAGGATTGCTTGAGCCCAGGAGTTTGAGGTTGCTGTGAGCTAGGCTGGCACCAGGGCACTCACTCTAGCCTGGGCAACAAAGCGAGACTCTGTCTCAAAAAAAAAAAAAAAAAAAAAAAAAAAAGCAACATCTGGCTGGGCCTGGTGGCTCATGCCTGTAATCCTAGACTCTGGGAGGCGACGCGGGCAGATCATTTGAGCTCAGGAGTTCGAGCCAGCCTGAGCAAGAGCGAGACCTGTCTCTACTAAACAATAGAAAGAAATTAGCTAAGTCACTAATATATATATATTATATATATAAAAAATTAGCCAGGCATGGTGGCACATGCCTGTAGTCCCAGTTACTAGGAGGCTGAGGCAGGAGGATCGCTTGAGCCCAGGAGTTTGAGGTTGCTGTGAGCTAGGCTGACGCCACGGCACTCTAGCTCACACAACAGAGTGAGACTCTGTCCCAAAAAAAAAAAAAAAAAATACAACATCCTATCCATTCTCCTCATTAAAAATTTTAAAAAGGAAGCTATACTCTTGAGAATGGATCCATGGCCATGACGCCTTGCGTCCTGTCTCCCACAGAAGACAACACTAGATGCCTTGGGGACAGAAGTCAGAGCCACGTGAAGCACCCTGTGGTGCGTGGTTTCCTTCACTAGGGAACACAGGAAAGCTCCCAGCCATCAGCGCTGATCGCTGCTGTCTCAGTGGTGGGGGGTGCTGGACACTGAGCTAAAATATCTGAAAAGAGCACATGTTTACAGGGGAAAGGGCATTTTTCCAAGTTCTTCAGGGTTAACAGGGCCAGGGGGAGGTCAAGACCAGTGATTTCTTACCTGCTGTAGGCAAACTAACGTTATACTGAGGTAAAATAAATAGGAAGGCAGTCTTGGCTGTGACCTGTAAAACAAAGGGGAAAAGTTCCAGTTTAACTTTCGGCCACATCAAAAGAAACAGGCAGAGCCTGCCACCAGCCTCCAGACCCTTTACATCTCAGACCCGCCGGCCTCTGCGGTGAAGGCTTTTACATAATATGCAGAGTTAACACCGGGTGTTTTGTTCCATTTTTCTTTAATGACATACCTCCCAATACCTGCACTAAAAACAAACAAGAAAATGACCCTGGGCCCCAGGTGGTATCTAGACTGGCTACTCACTGCAGATGGGATCAAACCAGTTGTGCTTGGGCAGAATGAGAGCTCACAAGGGCAGGGTATAAATCTGGCCACCATTCATTCATTCATTCATTCATTCACTCATTCATTCAGGTATTTATTAATTTAGTTCTGTCTACCCAGCAATTATGGAAGATGGAAACTAACAGATGGAGCTTAGGACCTAACTGAGGTTTCCCCAGCAGTTTGGTTGCCCACACGTTGGACAGAAGCCCCAAAAGTCTATACCTGAGCTTCAGAAACAGAGAACTCCAGCTGCTAATTTCACATCTACCCTACAAGTGGGGCACAGGGCAAGACATGACACCCCACACTGCTGATTTGTTTGTTTCCAAAGCTGTCTTTAAAATCTTAGTTGTGTTATGGAAAAAACTGTGGTTGCCACCTGGTTATTAATAGCCAAATCAGTACTGTGACACTTTAGCCAGCAGAGGACAAGTCACAAAACGAGGATATGTGGCTGGGCGTGGTGGCTCACGCCTGTAATCCTGGCACTTTGGAAGGCTGAGGCGACAAGATTGCTTGAGGCCAGGAGGTTGAGTCCAGCCTGAGCAAGAGCAAGTCCCCATCTCTACAAAAAAAAATACAAAAATTAGCTGGGCGTGGTGCCACGCACCTGTAGTCCCGGTACTCGGGAGGCTGAGGTGGGAGGATCGCTGGAGCCCAGGACTTGGAGGTTGCAGTGAGCTACGATGATGCCACTGCACTCTAGCCCAGGCGACACAGCAAGACCTTCCTTGTCCCAGAAAACAAACAAAAATCCACGGAGATGTGAAGCTTGGACTCCTGAATCGACTACCTGGGTTCAAACGCTGGCTCTGCCATTTCCTTAGCCATGTAACCATGAGCAAGTAATCTTACACCCTAAGTCTCAGTCTCCTTGTCCATAAACTCAGGGGCATTTGCAACATCCTAGCTGTTCTGGGTACTACAGAGTCGGGTGGCACTGTCCCAGCATTGCCGAAAGCTCCCCAGGTGTTTCCAGCGTGCACCTGGGCCTGAGAACCACCAGCCACACTCTTCTGAGATGCACATGAGGCCAGGTGAAGAGGAGGCCCAGAACCAGGCCTTTCTCAAGAGGCCTCAGGCGACACCTCATCAATACGAAGTGCTGGCTCTCCCCCAAACACAGAGGTTTAAAGGATGCACACATGTGGGCAGGGGGACAAAGACGCCGGGCCATGGCAGAGGCAGCATGGAAACAAGGGAATGACACATCACAGACTCCTTGTGTCACTTGGATGTGCCAGCAAGAGGCTCCTGTCCTCGGCCTACCCTCTAGGGACAACCCTCCTCCCTAGAGCAAACCCCTCCCCAGTCAACAAGACCTAGCGCTCTGCAGCGGGTGTCCTTTCCTCTTTGTACGTATGCGGGACGCACCGCGAGCCTTCTCGTGCGTGTGCGCTACTGCCTTAGGCGTGTTCTATCAAGCTCGCGGGGAAGACCCCAAATGAGACTAGGTATGAGAAGAAGCTCCTGAAAACACCGAGCCCAGGCCAGCCGAGGTGGCTCACGCCTGTAATCCTAGCACTCTGGGAGGCCAAGGTGGGAGGATCGCTCAAGGTCAGGAGTTCGAGACCAGCCTGAGCAAGAGCAAGACCCCCATCTCTACTAAAAACAGAAAGAAATTAATGGGCCAGCTAAAAACATATAGAAAAAATTAGCCGGGCATGATGGCGCATGCCTGTAGTCCCAGCTACTCTACTCGGGAGGCTGAGGCAGGAGGATCGCTTGAGTCCAGGAGTTCAAGGTTGCTGTGAGCTAGGTTGATGCCACGGCACTCTAGCCCGGGCAACAGAGTGAGACTTTGTCCCAAAAAACAAAACAAAAACACCGAGCCCTATTCAAATATATAGGTCTGTCCTAATCCCCACCTCACAACCTTATCACTTTGGTCTTCAAGACCATGATCAGCGTTACTGACCTGCCTTCCAGTGCTTGGTGCCGGCCAAAACACTCTACTTGCTGCTTCCTTTTGGGGGGTTTAGCCCCTCTCACGTTGTGTGGTGCTGCTCCCATACTCTCCCCTGACCACAGTTCTAATTATCAGAATCTCACTCACCCTCCACCACCCACCTCCCCGGCAACCTCCTCCTCCGAGAAGCCTTCCCTAACTGCTCACGGGCACGACCTCTTCTCCCTGGGGGCACTCTGCCCATGCCCTGCCGTGCTGCCATCTCCATGTTCTTTTTTTTCTCTCTCTCTCTTTTTTTAATTTCATCATATTATGGGTGTACAAATGTTGTTAAGGTTACATGTATTGCCCTTGCCTCCCATCCCCCCTTCAAGTCTCTGCTTCAAGCGTGTCCATTCCCAAGACGGTGCATATCTCACTCACTAAGTGTGTAAATACCCATCCCCTCCTCCCCTCCCACCTGCCCCACACCCGATAAATGTTTTGGTTTTGGGTTTTTCTTTTTACAATTTGGTTACATTTTATATCTTTGCTTCTCCCTAGGAAGGGTTACAGGCATGCCCTTCCCCTCCACAATGCTCACCACATCCCTCAGATGTGGGTCTACCCCCCCTAAGCCCCGAATCCCTGGTGAACACCACCACCCTTTGAGCACCACAGTGTTAATCGGTCAGTACCAATTTGATGGCGAGTACATGTGGAGCCCATTTTCCTGATCTTGTGTTGCCTCACCTTGGATAATGGGCTTAAGCTCAATCCAGGATAGTATAACCCAGGCGTCCTCAAACTACGGCCCCGCGGGCCACATGCAGGTGTTTTTGCCCCTTTGTTTTTTTACTTCAAAATAAGATGTGTGCAGTGTGCATGGGAATTTGTTCATAGTTTTTTTTAAACAATAGTCCGGCCCTCCATTGGTCTGAGGGACAGTGAACTGGCCCCCTGTTTAAAAAGTCTGAGGACCCCTGGTAAGCGGCGCTACTGTGTGTGGTTCTCAGCAGGCTCCACCCTCCCCAAAGGCAGGGACTGCGCTGTCGTCTGGCGCACCCGTGTGTGCCCTCTCAAGTCACTCCCCAGATGCACACAGCAGGTGCTCAATCACTGCTCCTGAATAACGTCAAAGGTCACAGGGCGAGTCTGCTCCTCTCAACTGTACCTGCCCCCACTCTCTACTGGGGGCCGCGCTCGGTGCTGTCACTAGAGCCGTCCTCTGTCACCGACAGCCTCCTCTGCCAGACCCATCCACCTGCCAGACCACCTGCATCCGGGCCCTGGCCACCGCGGCCACGTGGCTCTCCCGCTCTGCACTCTGCTCACAGTGGCCAGTCCCGGCCCCACCACCTAACTGTCTACACCGCCCGCCTCGGCTCCGTTGACGGCAAGCCTTGCCTTCTCAGACTGAGACGTCTGCGGGGACCGATCAGAGGAAACGAGAGAAAGGAAGGGCAGAGGAGAAAGGCAGGCAAGAAGGAAAATGTTTTCCAACAGTCTACACGGCCCCGGCACGTGTCTCCCACTTGCTGTCATCGGGAACGCGCTTGTCCTTCAAGACCGTGGGGGTGCGGCGCGGCGAGCTCTGCCGGGCTGTCTGGACTCCGCTCTCCCCTTCCAACGGCACCACGGCCTCTCCCACGGCTCCCCATCTGGTGGACCAACCCCCTGCCTCCTGGGAGGAACAAGGGGATAAAACCTTCTCAAGACAGAAGCCAGCCAACGGACCCCCTCCTCTGGGTCCTGGTCAGGTGGCAACGAGGGGTGCTGGTCAGTTGCCGTGTTGCCCCGCAGAGTCTGGAGCCCTGCCGTGGTCCCCGCCCCTCGGCCCTGAGCACCCACGGTCTTCAGCTTCCCACCGCCTGGTGAGTCCCAGGCAGCTCCAATGCTAAGACACATTATTCTTCAGTTGTGAGAGCAGCTACTGTTTTCTCCAAAAATAGACTGACCCATAAATAAGCCTAGCAGGATTTCTAAGCATTTGCGCAATAGAAGGCCTACCCCCGAAAATAAGACCAGTGATGGGCGTGGCTACGCGGCACATCTGCACAACCATGCATTTTGGCTCGGAGCGGTAAAGAAAGACAGCAGCCTCTCATCTGCCCATGAGAGCTCCATTGCTCGACATGAGAGATTGGGGCCCATGGTTCTAAAGAGAATAGAGTCGCAAGAAATTCAGGATGGAATTTCGGGTTTGGAGAGTTAGGATGATGTTCTAGAAGAAGACGACTTAACTATATATAATTAAATGTAGATTGTTGTACCGTACTTAAAAAAAATAACACATCCCCTGATAATAAGCCCTAGGGCAGGGGTCCTCAAACTTTTTAAACAGGGGGCCAGTTCACTGTCCCTCAGAACTGGGAGAGTGGCGCACTGTGGGCCGGGACGATCGGCTGCTAAGAGGACAGGCAGCGCGCAAAAAAACCCGGAGGCCGATAAATGTGCTAGGCGTCCCTGCATTGCCCTCGTTTGAGGAGCCTGCCTGAGGTGCTTCTGAGGAAAAATAAATATAAGACCCTGTCTTATTTGGGGAAACCAGTAGTGCTCACCTTGCTGCAGGAGATCCCCGGGCCACACCCTAGCCACTGAAACCAGACCCTTCGGCATCCGCATTTTGTCAAGCTATGTCAATACTATGTCCCATAGCATTCCAGTGCCCAGCCAAATCTAGAACCATCATACTTTTTTTTTTTAGAGGAAGATAAGACTTTTAGGCCAGGCGCGGTGGCTCACGCCTGTAATCCGAGCACTCTGGGAGGCCGAGGCAGGCTGATTGCTCAAGGTAGGAGTTCGAAACCAGCCTGAGCAAGAGCGAGACC